GCGATGCCACGACGCTACAGATCTTGTTCAAATCGATCAAGTCACAATTTTGTTTGATTTTTGAAAAGTTATAAATCCACGAATTTTTCTTGTTATATGTGTTTACCTGTTAAAGTGAAATGGACTTAGTATAATCCAATTAGTAGAGTAAAAATGTCTTAATAGTTTTCCACAGAATTTAAGATTCTGATTATTACTGTGCTGCCGATTTGATGTCGTAAATATATTAGAGTGTGCAGCTTATAATTTCTATCATAAAGAAACAATTTATATACAGAATTAAATACCAATGCTAATATGATTAATGGCGAAATCACTTCGCTGACAGAACTTAATGAGACCTTAATTTTCTATAATATATATGAGTGATAGAATTTATTGGGAGGATTTGAGATAATCACAATTAAGTAATTCATCGAGTCTAGAAGAAACCTTAACAGAATGCACTGGAAGGCCATTTCGTCCTATATTTGGGACTCATCAGCAGTGCGCATCCACTACCGAGAATTGAACACGGATCGTTACGATACGACGCAAGCGTCATACCAACTGTACCAACGGGCCTCGAGGACGAAGAGGTAACATTTGCATTACAAACATGAAAACAATTAACAAAAACTAAAAATTCTTGAAGCTATATACATAAAACAGTTGAAATCTCCACAAATATTCTTAAATGCCTATAATTGAAAACAGAAGCAATTGGTTTATATCAACGGCTTCCCATACTTAATACTTCTCGTTTATACTCTCACGTGATCATGTGTGACGTCATGAGCTGCGGTGCGATTTTCGCTTCCAGCGTCTCGTATGCACGAGTTTCTCGTTGCTTGGAAATCTTCCATGTAAACAAAAGCAGACTATCGTTATTGTTTTGTCCGGGTATTGTTTAATATATTGTAATGTAATTGTCATCTTTGATAATGGCTTATGCAAGCCGAAAGCTTTAGATAGGATTAAAAAACATGTATCAATATGGTGATTTTCTTTCATCTTTCAATGATAATGTTATTAAGCTTATCAGACAATATGAAAGGAATTTACTTAAAATAAATAGGCAAAACTTGTCTTTATTATTTAATGAAACATGCATCAATATATATATATATATATATATATATATATATATATATATATATATATATATATATATATATATATATGTGTGCGTGTGTAATCTACGAGAAAGAGTAGAGAGAAATATATAAAACTGATTAAACTGAGGTCTTGTATGTCTGTCCGCTAGAAGCCCTGAAAATTATTCAAATCTTTGTATTGGTAACGACCTGAGTTTTTAGATCATAGCTTGAGAATAAAGGGATGTCAGTTATGGTTAAAGGGAAGTAAATCATGCTGACATTTTAAAAGTATATTAAATTATACATGCCACATATGATTTAAACGACCACCAAAATGTTTAATCCTATCAAACCGCCTCAATTAAGAAAATTTCTTTAATAACAATTTAAGGACTGTTCTTTCACCCAGACAGAGGAACGACTGCGTCGAGCATGGAATCAAAGTAATGGAACTTAGCCAGTTTAACGACTGGTTTTCTTTCTAGTGACTGATAAACGATGAAAGACAGACGAATTTCGTACTCCTTCTCCTCCGCCAATATTTAAATTATCGAGACTACACAGCAACGTTCATTTACAAAGGAATCGTGTCCAATCATTTGGTTGTTCAGAACGACGCCAGCGTTGGTCGGCGGCCATTGTAATTTCCCATCTATTTCCAGCGCTAGCCGACGAGTTTAAGTTTTCATTCCTTCCTGTCATAAGTTAATTAATTTTGCGATGCGGCGACTCAATTTATGCCAACTTCGACTTGTCGTTTCGCCTAATTTAATTTCTGTTGACGCTCATTTATTTAAATTTATTAAATTTCTACGTGATCCATTATTTGGGAGAACATTAATATTTTCGCCGAATGTTTAGGCTGGGAAATCTCAAACTGTCTTTCATTTGTTGCAATTCTCAACCGATTTGTAAATTTCTGCAACCATTTTGAGAGACTTTGTCATACTGGCAAAAATGTAAGTCTTCTTATACAGGGGGCTGCAAGAGTAACTATATAGTAAGCATTACATCAGTATTACCAGTATTATAATAATAGTGATCCTAGAATTCATTTAATACTAGATTTAATTTAATTTCTTAAAATCATTTTTAATAATAAAGTTTAGCAGGGAAAGAAGAGTGTGTGAAAGACAGAGCCATGTTTAATGGATGTCAGTTATCAGTTATCATTTGTTAATTCACCTCTCCAAGTTCTCCACTGCCTTAACCGGGTGTTGAAGTCACACACTTTGCGTCCTGTTACTGGATCTAACCAACGCCTTTATCCACTGTGCCATGTGTCCACGTGGCACGTGGAACTAAAACAGTCTACCCCAGTAAGCGAAATAAAGGTTTCAGGTCCAACCACCTGAAGAAGGCCGGAGTGTACAACGGCCGAAACGTTGTAATAAATATGGCGCCAAAGATGAGGACAATAGCCCGAATAATGTAAATAGTGTAAATAATATCTCATCTCAGAAATATAGACAGATACTGAAAGGGGCCGGAGCGTGCAACAGCCGAAACGTTGTGATAAATATGGCGACAAAGATGAGAACAATAGTCCGAATAATGCAAATAGTGTACATAATGCCTCATCTCAGAAATATAGACAGATACTGGAAGGCTGAAACGTTGCAATAAATATGGCGACAAAGATGAGGACAATAGTCCGAATAATGTAAATAGTGTACATAATACCTCATCTCAGAAATATAGACAAATATTAATTGAAACAACCGCTTTAGTTTTCTTTCTTTCAGTTTTAGACCCACTGGAGTGACAGGGTGTAATCGATTTCTTTTCTTTTTTTTTTTTTCTCCGATTATTTCATTTTCAGGGGTGTGCAGTAATATGAATCTATCTTCGCGGTGTATGATGAAATTTTTTTGACCTTGAAAAATATTGCGTCATCCGTGATTGCATCATATTTTCATCTCGCCCAGGCACTATTTTCTTCACTGTCTATTAGATGTCCTACGCCCATTGTCTGCGAGTACATTACTCCAAAGAAGCGTACGGAAATTGCAACGCTGCACGAACACACTGGCAATCCTTACCAGTGAGCAAATCAAAGTACTAAAGAATGGCCCGGAAATTCTCCTGGATTTAAATCCATTCAAGAATCTGTGATCCATCTGCAATTTACGGCTTCGTGGAATGGACATACGAAGTAATAACGTGAACACTGGGTTATGTTTCATTGGAAAAATACGAAAAAAAAAATAATAACGGAATAATTCGTTTTGTTTCATTTAATTTGCACAATTTTGTATATGCAAGACAAAAGTAGGCAAAGCAACAACAATAATGCAAACTTTTCACCAAGTATGAATGGTATTGACACACAAAATGAATACAGGCAAGTGACTGTAGAGTCCTGACCACAAGTCAAGAACTGTTCTGGATATGGTGATAAACTACATCCGCACCTGGGTACTACATCCGACAGCAACGCCTCTGAAGAGAAGGTGTTGAGGAGCGTGGGACCACCTATTAATTGCTGGTGTTCCCAGGTCCATCCTGACCTGGGGTGGTAGCACCTGTTAGGCTCCCTACTATGAGCAAATATTTAACCCCCAAACTGGACTCAAAACTTGTAAAAATAGGTTTTAATACCAGGGAAACATTTTTTTGTAAAGAATTATTATCAGTAATAAATTTTGGAAAAAAAATTATTACCAGCAATCGATTATTACCAGCAATATTTTTTTGGAGAAAAATATTACCAGCAATACATTTTTTGAAAAAATATTACTAAAAATACTTTTTGAAAGAAATATTACCAGCAATAAAAATCTTGTCGGCATTAAATAATCCATTGAGGTTGATATGCCATAAAATAAAATAAACGAAACCATATTCTATTCATACGAACCTATCGTAAAAATCTTGTCGGCATTAAATAACCCATTGAGATTGATATGCCGTAAAACAAAATAAACGAAACCATATTCTATTCATACGAATCTATCGTAAAAATCTTGTTTGCATTAAATAAACCATTGAGATTGATATGCCGTAAAACAAAATAATCGAAACCATATTCTATTCATACGAATCTATCGTAAAAATCTTGTTTGCATTAAATAAACCATTGAGGTTGGTATGCCGTAAAATAAATCAAACCAAAATCAGGTCAAGAATAAAAATATGACGGATGAAACGGAGATAGTCATCTGTTTGTTTGTTTCTTTCTTTAGCGGTATACCAACTCTTTATGTATCATTTAATACTGAAATTTAATTTACTTGGGAGCTTGAATATTATTTTCTTAAAAATCTATTGGTGCTATTTTTTTCTTTCACAAAAAGTTGCTAGTAATTCATTATTTTAATTTTTTTTTAATCTACACTTGCAGGTTTTTTACCCCAGTTTTGGGCTTCATGATTTTTCCGTTGCTGGGACCCTAACTGGTGCTACCACTCCGGGTCAGGATGGGCCTGGGGACAACAGCAGTTAAGAGGTAGTTCCACGCTCCTCAAAACCTCCCGGTCAGAGGTCATGGTCCTGGATGTAGTTTATCGTCAGGGACGTCGGAAGTGGCCTGTCTTATTGCCAGGAAGAACCCTCATCATACATCTGTATGATTTGTCCATAAAATTGAGGAAAGTAATATTTTTGCAGTCATTCCTAACAGGATTTGAACCAACAGATCGAATTCATCACAAGACCATATAGTGCAAATAGCAATTACTCATCTATATACTGATAATTTCCACAAAGCTTAACTCTGATAATCACACAAGAACAAGTATTGTTAACAGCTATATCATCTTGAAAAACCGGCAGTTTGATTTTAATTGTGGTCAATTTGATAGATAGAACAGAGGACTTTCTTTTAGCTCTCTTGCCTTGGATGACAGCCAGTCTACGACAAAGAAAACTCTAAGGAAGACTTAAGAGAAACGGGATATCTTGCTCTAGGCACGTCTACTGTTGCCACAGCTGCAGTATATATAATCCATCTACGACTCTAAGTGTTATGAAACTTTTGATGAAGATCATTTGTGGAGGCTTAGTGGAGTAATGGATAGCGGCTCGGATTGATGAATCGGAGAGCTGAGTTCGAATCCCAGTCGGATCCATTACATTCACTTACTTGCTAATACCCTTGTCTGAATTCTCTTCTTCAACCGCCACCCAACTATGGTTAAACAGGATGACAGATCTGGGTAGTAACCAGCCTAGGGGAAGGTTACTCTAAATTCAAAACCGGTCTGGAGAGAGTTGGGCTCTGTTAGTCTATCTTGCCCAAGAAGCACCACTTCTACTGCGATTGTGGTGGTTCTACAACTTGATAGATTACGGGATTCATGATCTTTTGGTCTGGAGTAGTACTAAGTGATGCCTAGATTGAGATTATATTCCACTGGTACTGGAGATCCAGGTTTCAAGTCTGGTTAAAAAAAGAAAAAAGAATAATGGACAATTTCCTCTTCTCTTTGACTGTAGCAAAAGTAAAGATGAGAAATAATGATTCTTTTGTTGAATCCCATAAAAGTATAGGCGATCGAATACACAAGAGAATCGGTCTGAGAGAAAATCGCAATCCAGTAGACGCCCCAAAAGTTATTTACTAAGAATTTATCCGGTAGATTTTTTTTTCATTTTCGCCTGCTCACTCCTTTCATTTTTTTTTTTGCCATTCTTCTGTTTTTTTCTGTTTTTCCATTTTTCTATATTATTTTACATCTTCTTCTTCGTTCTTCATCATCCTCCTCCTCATCCCTTTCCTCCTCTTCTAATTATTCATTTTTCTCCTACATTCTTTTATACTTTCTTTCTCTTTTAATATTCTTCTTCTTCTTCTTCTTCTTCTGCTTTGTCTTCTAGATACTTCTTTTATCATTCTGTCAATATTCTTTTATTTATTCATTTTTCATCTTTTTTATTCTATATTGGTTTTGCTTCTCTATAACATTCCCCTTCTTCTTTTCTTCTTTATTCTTTGTTTCAACTCCTTTCTTCTTTTCCTTTTTTCTTTCCTCTTTTTGCTATGTTTCGTGCCTTTACGTTAGGTTTCTGCTTTTTCTTCGACTTTTCATACTTCTTCTTTCCTCTATTATTTTTTTCTTTCGTGATTTTTTATATTCTTCTTTTCCTTTTCATGTATTCTTCGTCCTTCTTTTGTTTTTTCTTCGACATTCTCATACATTGTTCTTTTTCTTCTTCTCCTTTCTTCTTTTTACTCTTCATTTCCATATATTGTTGTTGTTGTTGTTGTTGTTCTTCTTCTTCTTCTTCTTCTTCTTCTTCTTCTTCTTTCTTTCTTTCTTTTTCTCTTCATTTCCATACATTGTATTTTTGCTACCTCTTTTTCTTTTTCTTCTTTCTCTTCATTTCCATACCTTGTTCTTTTTCTTCTCATCACCCATTTTTACTTTCTTCCTTATTCTCTTAATTTCCATACATTGTCCTTTCTTCCTCTCTTTTCTTCTTCTTCTTCTTCTTCTTCTTCTTCTTTTTCTTCTTCTTCTTCGTGTAAATTCTTTATCCCATGTTTATCTTTCTTTTTCTTTAAACAAAAAAAAAGACAATGAAGACATGAAAGTTGGTGTAACAAATCATTTTTGCTTTCATGTCTTTTCCAACACCGATTTTTCTTCTCGCTTTTCAAAAAGAAAAAAAAACGAACCAAAATAAGCATCCCCTCTTTGTCTTCGTTCTTAACAAAAAAATGCTTCAACAGAGCAGAGATTAAATCGCCATTTACTTCACTTCTGACGCATTTCCTTTGACTTTATGCTTTTGTTGTTGTTTTTTTATTTTGTTGTTGTGTGTGTGTGTGTGTGTGTGTGTGTGTGTGTGTGTGTGTGTGTGTGTGTGTGTGTGTGTGTTTTACTCCCTATCTTGTCTCGTCAGATTCGAGGTCATATTGGAAAGAAAGGAAAGATTTTATAAGACCCCAAATGTTCAATGGGGAAAATCCTTGAACATCGATCTTAGGCATCACTGAAAAATACACATTTCCAACTAAAAGTCAAGCCGTGTTCCCGTTTCATTACGTCATGAGACACAGATGAAGTTGACATAATCTTACTTATTATAAAACGCAGATTGTGTGTGTGTATGTGTGTGTGTGTGTACGTTTATATATTGGATCGGATTTCCTACATTTTTCAACCGATTTCAACAAAACTTGACAGGACTACGTAAAATTACCTTGCGGTGGTTCTGACAGCGCCCAAAATTGGAAAAACACAATTGTTTTTGCACGAAATCAATTTGAAAACACGATTAAGAGGTATCGCGAGAATGAAAGGGGGACAAACTCATATCGAGTTATACTTATTATAAAAATCCCAGGTTGTTTGTGTGTCTGTGTTCGTTTATATAAGGGATCGGATTTCCTACATTTTTCAACCGATTTCAACAAAACTTCACTTTTTTTTGTCAGGTAGTGTTTCTTATTGTCTTGCACACTTTTTTCTTTATTTTTACATTCAGAATGCTTTAAAAATTCCATTTACAAGACAACTGTTTATAATAAAATTCTATTCAATCGATAGACTCATAACGATTGAAAACAATGTTTTTGTTTGAGTTTGGGTTTGACCAATTCGTAAAAAAATCCCCCAAAAAACAAACTAATTAAGACATGCGTGTCCGTCAACCTTAAACAATAATCTTTGTCAGTTTTATTTTTCAGTCTTTATGATGGTTGATACTTGATCTATCTCTTACTGTTACATCCCCGGGCAACGCCGGGCTCTACTGCTAGTTATGAATTAAAACTGACAAACAATAAATTTATTTATCTTCAGCGTTTTTATATTTTACAAAACTGGTGCAATTGGAAATATTGAACATGGACAAGTTACATTGTGTTAACGTTTCACCCCATGCCAGGCAATAAAGCCATTAAAACACAAGAAATTACTGAGTGTGAGAGAATCTGAGAAAAACTACTATTAAGGAGAGAGAACAATAAAAGAACAGGAATTAAGAAGACAGAATATAAACAATTGACATTGAATTTAAATTTTTGATGATCAAAATTGACTGGGAAGCAAGAAGCCCGGGGCGAGTTCCATAAATCGAGAAGTAAAATAGAAGAAAACGTTAACTTAGAACTTACGGTTACATCTAACCAATTCAACTGTAAAATTATGAGATTAACGCCCAATCTAGAACAGCACTTAAAATCATAAATCGAAGTACGAAAGCTGATAGTTTATCAGAAAAACTATCATGAAAATATACAGAAAAAAAGGCACCGGGACGCAATATTACGGCGATGGGAAATAGACTGAAGCCGAGATGCCATGTCAGGACCGGTAAACTTGCAGACTCTTCTTTGGAGTTTAACAAGAATCTCTAAATACATAGAAAAAGCACCATACCAGATATGACAGCAATATTCAATGCATGGTGGGGGAAGAAAAAGAAAAAGGAGAAGAAGCAGGAGAAGAAGAAAAAGTACAATGTGCAGAAATAAAGAGAAAAAGGAAAGAGAAAATAAGGAGAATAAGAAGTAGAAAAAAAGGACAATGTATGGAACTTAAGAGAATAAGGAAAAAAGAAAAAGAAAAAAGGGAAGAAGAAGAAAAGTACAATGTATGGAAATGAGGAGAAAAAGAAAAAATAAAGAAAGAAAGAAGAGGAAAGAAGAAGAAGAAAAGGTATAATGTATGGAAATGAAGAGAAAGAAGGAAAAGTAGAAAAAGTATAATGTATTGAAATGAGGAGAAGAAGAAAAAGAAAGAAAGAAGAAGAAGAAGAATGTATGGAAATGAAGAGGAAGAAAAAAGAAGAAGAGAAAAGATCAGATGTATAGAAATGAAAAAAAAATGGCGATGTGTGTAATTGTGTAGCGTGATAAAGTGAACCAAATTTCCTAGCAAATGACCAAGCAATTGATTGAGTATAATGTTTCCACTTTATGTCTGAAAAATACTTCAGGTTTAGAAAGTGCACTGGGATATTCACTTTAAGGTTAGCAGTTAGAGGAATTGGAGAAGAGGTGTTTAGATTGCATTTGAAGACTGAATTTAGAAAGCGGGGGTGGGGAGATTTTAACATATTACATTTTGAAGAAGCCGTCTCATCTACAAATTCTTGACATTTAATTATTTAATTATAATATCTCAAGTGTTTATAAGGGAAAAGACTTCACTGAAAAGATTTAGTGTTACTTTTTTATCATTTTGTTATCGATAACCAATTTCAATTAACCGCCTTCATTGGTGAGATTCTTTCGTATACACCATATAATGATAATATATAAAAAAAGATAAATCTTAGTCTTTGAATGCCTATAAAACACAGCCATTCTCTCCAGTTTGGTCTTTACCCGCACTAAGTAAAGCTTCGAAAAATATCACCAACTTACTAAAAGATTCATTTTCCTATCAGCATGGTTTATATCTAACATATTTTTCAAATAGATCGGGTTTTCAAATAGACCTTTGTTCTGTCCCTGGTCAAATGCTTTTGCGTAATCTATAAAATATAAATTTACATCCTTCTGCTTTTGTATTGCTAATGTTCTGCTTCTTCGACTTAAATCTGAGTTTGTAGATTCTTATAAAAGTAATTCTTTTATAAGACCGTGTGGGAGTTTGTAACATCTGATTAAATAAATATTCTGCTATTTCGACTCCGGCAAGTCTTGAGGAATAAATGTTAAATATTAGTATACTAAATAGCAATTTATTTCCTTTGATTTCTGTTGAATACTGATTTCCTTCCTGGTACCAAGAAGCAATTTAGGTTAGAAATGGCATCATGACATTTTCCACTGAGCAACTTTGTAAAAAAAAGAAATACAGGCAACGTAAGACCACACACATTTTCTATAGATAAATGTTGTGAGTACAATATTATTATTATTATTATTATTTTTATTATTATTATTATTATTGTTTCCTTTCATTTCTGACGTGTACACATTCCTTTCAGGTCCCACCCAGGGACCTAAGGTCAGAAATGGCACC